GAGACTGCATTTACCCTTTCCTGTGGTGTTGAGCATTCAGGGTGTAAGCAAATTCTACTAGTTGCATGGGGACATCTTTGTTTTTTTGTCCACTTAGGAATGTAGTCATCTTTTGTAATATTGCGTCTTGCCTCTACTAGATGACACTTACAAATACAGGCATCATCTTCTAGTGACGCTCCAAGATGCTTACAGATAAATGATTTTACATCTTCAGATAACGTACCAAGGTGGGAATGATAAATGTGGCTTAATTCTAATCCACACAGTTTACAATTATGATGATCTAATGAGAGTGTATTCAAATGAACTTTGCAAAACCATGTAAATCAGTTATGTACCTTTCCTTTTTGATAGCATTCTCAATAGTAAGTGTGGGACACAAAATGTTTTTTGGTGAATCTAAATTTGGAATAATGAAGCATCACATGAATAGGTCAACAAGTAACAAAGATCTCAAAAACTCTAATGTTCTAAAGAACTAAATAGGTACCTGTAATCTTGTCTATCACTATCTTTTATCTGTTTATATAAAAATGAAAGAACAATACTATGAACAGAAGCAACTGCTACGAAGACCACAGCAGGTGGAATAATTTTCTTTTTGATTTATAATAATATTCATTTGTATGATGTAATTATGACAATTTTGGTAAAGTCAATGCAGGTGGCCATATTGGCCAATTATTGTGCGTGGGCGTGTTCTCTCAGAAAATAAATCTTGATAACTAAGCACTTCCGGTGATGGGTGCGGTTAGACTGGGTCTGTGTACTGTTGATTTCACTTCAAATGGAACACCTGGGCCGTGGCCGGGTCAGCCATTTTTATCACGTGAGCTTACTTTCAGAATGACCAGATCCCGGACCCGGTCCGCCCGGGCGTTCCATTTGAACTGAAATCAACAGTAGTATATCTATGATTTCGTGGATTCCCTCCTAATTTGCAAAAATAAAATCCGGGAAAATCAATTTAATACGGTACCCGCATGGCACATGTGGTAGGATTCGCGAAATTAAAATCTGTGAATTGGAATCTTAGCAGATTTCGCGAAATATAATTCCCTCGAAAAAAATCACTTATATGGTATAACTAAAAATTGAAATTTTAAAAATTAATTTCTAACATTCAGTTACAGACTGTAAACTGTAAATTGTTTCAATATCTACTAACATTCACTATTGGTAGTGGTTTGTGTGGTTGTTCTTTTCTGTGTCTATCAATCAATGTCTTCGTTTGATCTTTAAGAGTAACCACCAGGAGAGGAGGAGTAAGATATCCTTTAATCTCAAAATATTCAAGTGATGGATGGATGAAGATAGTTTCATATAAATGTTGTACTAGTTCTATCCAGTTAGATTGAGATGACTCGTAATTAATATTAGCACACTCTATCCTCAGTAGTCTGATGGTTGTATGTGACTGTAACATGTTAGTAACAGCAGGTAGTACCTGTTCATAAAACAATGGTGTCATTATTTGTTTCTTCTCTTCCACACTACAGTTACTGCATGACTGATCTGGTATGAAGTTCACTTTAAGTTCTGTGAGATTGTTCTTATGAGAGATGACATTAATAAAAGTTCTTATCTCTTCATTCAGTGGAATGGATACACTCAACTGCTGTAGACTGGTGTTGTGTCTGAGACCAGTTGTTAGGAAGGACAGGTATGAACTGGGAATGTCATTATCAATCTCAAGGTATTTCAGTGTTTGGTTCTCTGTTAGAATGTTTTGAATTCCGTTATACAGACTGTAATATACTTTTGCCACATTCAGAGCATTTTGTAGGTCTTGCATTAACATATGAAGAACAAGAGATGAAGAGCTGCTACCCATCCTACTTTCCTCTTCCAGACTATGCATACTGCTGTTCAGATCCTTTATCTTTACACTCAGAGCTTTAAGTGTAGTATTGGTTTGTAGAATAGTAAATAGTTCAGTAGCACTCTCAACTGTGTCTAGTGGTAAAGTAAGTGTATGTAGACTGGGATGAGAGAGAAATAAAAGATGTGGTGGGTATGGATCATGTAGTATCAGACAGAGTAATCCTTTGATATGTGGAAGGAGTGATGATGTCATCAGTTCACTACTATTCCTCCATCCTCCTATCTCTAGAGCAGTCAGTGGTGTGTTCACCTCTACTATAGTCAGTGATGATGGTAGGAGTTCATTAGATATGTTCAGTGAAAGAGCTTGTAATGTGTTGTTGTCTTTTAGTAACTGTTCTATTACTCCATCAGGTAGAGGAGGAGGAGGAGCAAGTACATTAAAATTAATATGTGTTGTTAAGTCAATTCCTAATGATGTTATTGTTTTATTTCTTGTTACTCCTCTAATGACACTGATAATAATACTTGTTATTTCATTCCCTCCTTCATACTTAATCTTCACTTCTTGTAGTGTTGAATTCATTTCTATACATTTCTCAAGTTCAGTGCACTTGTCTATGTAGTATGTATTGTCAACTGTTAGTATAGTAGGATATTCCATTATTAAGTGCAGTATCTTCAATTGAGGAAGATTGAGGAACTGTAACAATACAAGACAGGGAAAATATTGACCTTCAGATAATTCACAGTAGCACTCCTGAATATTGTATAGAAGTGATGGTTGTAATAATTTGTGTATTAATTCATCAGTGGGATGATCCAACACTACCTCCAGTCTCTTACACTGGGTCTGTAGTAAGTTATTGGTTAGTCCAGCAGTAAAGACTGATAGTTCCTGGTTAAATACAAGCCCCAGGTGCAAGTTATTCCATGTTGTGTTGGAATTGTTTATACAATAACTGAGACACAACCAGTCAAACAATGATAATGATACTCTATCGAGACACAGTGAGTGGTTGTTTATGGATTGTGCTAATACTTGACATAATGTTGTGTTCTGTGATTCATACAGGAGTTGAAGAAGAAGCATGGGAAAATTGTCAAAATCATGACATCTGATATGATCATTGACAAATTTTTGATGTCTAACCTCAGGATTCTGATAGAAGTAGGAGAGATGACAAGTCTCAAATCCAAACAATGGTTTCCTCTTACACTGTAAGTCAAGTTGTTGTATATTAAAATACTGTTGATAGCTCTCATGTTCAAGGTGAGTTAGACCTGCCACAAACCTCAGACACATTCGAAAATGATCATCATCAAAGTGATCCTTAAACACTTCTTCTGTCTTCTTCTCATGCTTAATCCACCATGCAGCTAGAAATTCCTGTATACTCAAGTGAAGGAACTGATACTTCTCCTCATCATATTCTGTGAATCTTGTCATCAATCCAAGATAATCTTCCTTGACTTCCTCACTCAGTGACGACTGTAGTTGATGTGAAGAGAATGTCATTCTTGTATTAGCCAGGTTAGTATAAGCTAATTGACACATCTCTTGTAAAGGTTTAGCTAATTGTGATGGTAATGAAGGAAGACTACCTAAAGTATGTGGGTTAATGTCACGTCTTTTAACATGTCTTCTGATAGTTTGTAGGATAAAGTTCTGATACAGTTGAGTGAGTGTTGTTTGTAAGTGTCCTCCTTCTTTACAATAAACTAAGATGACCATGGAACAGACTAGTGGTACATAACACAATGATTGGACATCATTTCGTACTTTAAGATCATTAATGAGTTTCACTGCTAGTTGTGAGTCCTTACTGCTTTGAGTAGTTGTGAAATGTGATTTGTATTTTGCATTAGTTATTGATTTTATCCTTTCATCTTGTTCAGTGTTTTCATCAATGAGGTTTTGTGCTAGTTTTGTATCTTTTTGAAGTGTTTGTATAATTACTGTTGATATTTCTTCCTTAGAAAATCCAATGACCTGAACATGTCTACTGAGAGTATCCATTTTCAAAAGTGAAGAGGAGGCATAGCTACGAGAGGAAACAATTACTGAACATTTGTTTAACTGCTTTCTATGAATTATACTAGTAGCTAATGAAGACTGTCTCAGTCGTTCACTTAGTTCATCCCAACCATCAAAGATTATCAGTAATCCTTCTCCATTCTTCTTCTCAAACCATTCAGCTACCATGGGAACTTCATAACATCTATACTCAAACAGATCAGCTAGTGTAGTAGCTGTAGCTATCTTGCTATCCCTTAAAGGACAATAAAGTACCAAGTCATACTGTTGGTGTACAAGTGGTCCATTAGACCACATATTTAACAGTTTACGACAGAGTGTGGTCTTGCCAATACCAGGAGAACCGTCTATTACTACTCTGAGAGAAAGAGAACTATCTGTGGGTTGAAGGACATCTTCAACACTTATCTCTTTGTTTCCAGTTAGTTTAACTGTTGTATCAACTTGTCCTCTTAGCAGATGCCAAGCTGATTCTGCTTGTGTGCTGGAGTCTTGTTTTTCTACTAGTGCTAGTCTTCCAAAGAAATCTTTTCCAATTCTTGGTGGCCAGTCTGTAGCAACAATAGGTTGGTGTTTGTAGTGTTGTCTCATATTGCCAGCATATCCTTGAACATCATCAGGTATTGAACTAATGGATGTGACATTATCAGGTATAGACTGACCTAATTTATTGAGATATAATGACAATATTGATCACTGATAATGTACACACACACTCACCTAACTGGTGTAATATAGAGGTAGCAATATCTGTTAGTGTACGATGTTGTTGGTTTATTAATACATGACATATATCAATAAGATACTGCTCTGGATTAAGAGAGGATTCCAACTGTCGTTGTATCACAGCCACTAATTGACTTGATTTCCTATAATCAGATATTCCTGTTACTGTTTGTATATTCTCTTTAGTATCCAGTGGTATCAGTCCTTCAGCATACAGTGCATCAGTTACTCTGTAAAGGTTAGTAGTAATGGCATCAGTGAGTTTAACAGAATGAGTCCTGAATATATCCTTTGGATTACCTGCAGTAGTGTATCAGTTAATGAGTGTTGTATTAAGTGTATGTTTACCTGTTATAGGACCAGGATTGAGTTCAACATCTCCTGATAAGAGGAGGAGGAGAAGTAAAACTAAATAGTAGATCAGGTCAGAGCTACTCCCAATAGTAGCTATAAACAAGACTAATGACTGGAGGCAGTGGATCATAACAGTAACAGTAATTATGCCTATTGTAAATACACTGTATGATAATATTATTGTAATACACTGTATGATAATATTATATACTGTTAGTTTGTTTACCAGTTGGAGGAATAAAATTGAGCTTCATATATCTTAATAAAGATAAAAGAAGAAAAACAAAAAGAGCGGAC